CGCGCAGTGGGGCGGAGGGGGGGGGGGGGGGGGGGGGGTCCGTAACAGTGCTGACTGAACCCCCAAGCATAATCACGTGATCGAGCAAATGAAAGACGCAAATTTGATGTGGTGCTGAGGTCAGAAAAATGCAACTAAGTGTTCCAGACCAATAAATGAGATAATGGCCCTCAAAAATGGCCTCATTGACCATACTACTATTTTGTTCCACTTCTTCATATTACTCATAAATTCGGGGTTAACGGAATAGGATCGTGAAACCAACCATACTTACTACTGACTGACATTTAGAAGGCTAAGCAAAAGTGTGTAAAAAGGTAAACCAAACACTAAAAATATTTAGGACGAACACAAACGGGAGCCTAAATAGCAGTTATGGCTTACTTTTACAAATGTTGCTAAACCTTTTTTCATTTTCAGACTGTCCTTTTGTCCCATTTTCTGCCCGCCACATAACCGCGGAAGTTCTGTTGCATGGCGTCCCAAGAGAATGTCGAAGTCGATAACAGGAAGTGCGCCTTACGCACAAACCGATGACAAACATCATGATGATGCATATGACGGTGGTCGAGATGACAATACACATCATAATCAGTTTGTTTATTTCAATAGTGCCGGACTGGTTGCCCATATCTTTCTCGAGGTCAGCGAATCCAGGCCGAGAAACAAGAATCATGTTTCGACCAACCGGTGGCATATTGTTCACACTGACATGAAGTTGTATGGAATTCTTTTGCGGAGGACTCCCTTGGTCACTGGCTTCTATTAAAAGTTCTATTGTCCCCTAAAAAGAGAATGTCGGTAAGAAATGGTGAGAAGATCACGTTAGTAACATTTAACAATTCAGTTGTGTTCTAACATGTACTAGCAAATTTGATAGCCAGTTTTAAGTGCGAAAAGTTCGACTAGACAAGGCAACCAGAAAACGTTTCGACCGACTTTCCTGTTCAGGATTGACATCTGAGTATGCTCAACAGTTATTCTCACTCGAGAGTGGCAATTTTGATTTCTTTGGCTCCGTTGAGCACCGCTGGCGGCATTTACTACCTGTTTAGAATGGGACTGTCGGTTTCTGTACAAAGTTGCTTTATCGCTGATTGTAACTAAAAGAAAAACTTTGTGGTATTCTGACCATTGGTTTGCCAAGCGCACACAAAATCACGCGTCATGTCCCGCCACTGATGTTTCTGCTTACGATCGATATTTGATCGAACCACTCATAAATCGACCAAAATCCTCTCTATGCGGAAGGATTTTCGCTGAATGGTTCTCTTGATCAGAGATTAGAATCAAACATCAGTGAATGTATTCTGGATCTCAACCTCACAGCTAGATAAACTATGAACTGTTTCAGCTACTTTATACAAAGTCAATCCATCATCGCGAATTGAGTGCGAGCATGTGGCTTTACTGCACTGGTAAAGTTCCGACTGAATTATTGGTGCTTATTTGATGGTTGTACGAGTATACAATCCACGAAACTTCAGGGATTTTCTGCCTGCCATTGTGATCACACCGTACATTTGACATTCAAGAACTACTCCTAATCCGCCTTCAAACCCTTTGTCTACAGACTGCATTAGTGAACTGAAAAGAATTCGACGTTAGGTTTTCCGACTTTAATTGACATCGCAATGTTGTGAGGTCAGAGATTTCATATCATTGATTGTTATATGAAGTTATCAGCGGCGGTGCTCAGTCCTAAGTGTAAATAATTCTTAGTCGGTACTTATTTTCAGCCGGTAAAGTTTTTGCTGAGTGAAATCCATCACAGGCCCAGCAGTTATTGTCAAGTTTATTGCAGAGAATTATGTAGTAAAATTTTTTCGCCGTCTACTCAGACGGCTTCGCTTTTTCAAAAACTGATTTCTAATTAAGCCTTATCTCGTGCGCAAGGTTGTCTATAACGTTGACTGAAGAGTGCAAAGCAGGAACCAAGAGAAACAATACTTTGGCGTGAGACATTCTCTCATATGCCCGTTGGTGAATTCACGCAGATATATTTGACAGCTTAACGGCCTCGATGGTTTAATTTACTGTCGTCTTATGGACTCACAAAAGTACCACATGTGGTCACTGGCCCTTTGTTGCTCTGCATGTTCAGTGCGCACTCTTCAGGTTGGCTTCAGTTCTTGCTATCTAGGAAGTGCGAACTTTGCGTTTCTCATCGGTTATCACGAAAGTACCGTACTGGGATACGTGGAATGTTCTCTTTCGACAACAATATTTCATAATGAGAACAAAATATCATATCTTCCTGTGCAATGTTTAAGCCCGCTGGATTTGGAATCATTAGAGGCACAAAGGCGATGAACTCCCGATAGGAATATTTGGTTTAAATCTGTAACCTTCCGGGAGAAAGATTCAAGGTGTATAAGTCACCAGTGAACAGCTCGGGGGACAGTATTTCTATATGAAATAGAATCACTTTCTTGCTTTAGGTGGGAAGTTGCACTGAATGGTTTTGGTAGTGCTCATTTACTGCTTTCGCTATCTTGAAGGCGGTGGAGAAACCTATGGGAACAGTGATGGTCATTCGAGCAAACTTCCCGAATAATCAGGAATCAGGTAGCTTGTTAACCTACTCTACTCAGGATGCATGAAACGGTCTATGTACATCTGGGTCTTGATTGTGATGTCGATGGGCCAGCTGCAGCCTAAAACCAACTTTAAACTCATACTCTTTGGGGTACTTATCGGGCTATTCCTCAAAGTTGATAAATCCAAGCAAGGATAAGCAAGTGGTGATACACATTCATTCGCATAACAAGTCAGTATTAACTGGGAGCTCAAATAGACATGAGCTGAATACCATGTTTGAAGCAAGTTTGCTGCAGCAGCAGCTGGAACGATATTCAGGGTAACGATCTGCTTTTTGTGACAACGCCACTCATAAGGTCGCCTGAAATCTTTAACAGTGCACTATCGGGTCTGTCCGTCTTGAAGCCCGTTACTTAGGCGCGAGTTTTCATCAGCCTTCTATTCTAACTGAACATCAAATTGTGCACAAGTGGGGAGATGTATCGGAGTCTTAGATGGATGTTTTCACCGAATGTCGCTCCAAAAAGGATGGAGCAGACAGTAGGCTGTCGAAGAGTTCTGCCACAAACGCATGCGTAGCGTTGTATTAGAAGAAAGATTAAGCTGTCTTTGCAGTAATCCATGGCCCCTACGTACAGAATGGATGGGAGGTAACAATCTCTAAGAAGACTCAGTTAAAACTGAAGTGCTCTGCACATTCCATGAACGGATAATTAACGCTTACTATAAACGGACAAGAAAACTGCATGAACGAGTAAATGCCTGCTGGAGAACTGGTAAGTGCATGACGTCAAAGAGGTTCAACTATTGTGGAGCCATGGTTCAGGAACCGTAGATAAGGAACCATAGTTTCAGCCGCCTGGTTTTCCAACAGATAGAAGAAATTCTGGACTGGTTTCAGATCTGAAAGAATTAATGTTCCTGATGCAACATGGTTTGGTTTTTTAAAACTGATCATGACCTCATGTTAGCCAAATTTAACGTCTTTAGTAACCCACAAATTCGGTAGCCAATAGGATCATATTCCTAAACACTATGTTTATTACCTTGTGTTTTTGATGTTTTATGACTCTCTGAAAAAGTGAGCGGATGCATCTGCGAAACTTGCGGATGCTTTCGTTCAAATTGGGGGGAATTTTTCTTCAAAAAAGTTCGTGCACAACCTTTTTTGAAACAAGATAGAAGTTCATGGTAATACTCCCAAAAGAGTGGATGGGTGGTATGAGAAAAGCGACGTGTTTTCTTTCGCGTGTGTCATGAAGCTCTCAGAAGGGAAATTCGGAAAAATGTTTGTAAACGAATACGTCTTGGATGTACACTTCATCAAATGAGCTGGTGGTTAAATGGACTGACAAAACGTATGTTGGAGTAGTGAAGATCGAGCGTAGTGCACGGGTTTCGTGCTCCATCTACGGAAAAGGCTCACTATCTTCAGCATTAAATGTGTCGTCGCCATCATCACCTGCGAAATGTACAGAAGACAGTGACCGTGTCCAAATTGTACAGTGCTTATAGCTACCACAGTTTCGTTCTTCGATGATTTTAGAGGCGGATACCTACGATAATTACCACCCACTGCTACTACACTTTGTTCGTTCAAAGGCCCAGAAGGTATTGAAATCTTGGCTGAGTCGACAGCCGCCTCGGATCTTCAACAACCCAACGCAACCATGCTTCTAGCTCCTGGTATTCTGTTTGATAGCAGTAATCGATGGGTTAAGTTAGTGATACAGTCTTTATTCCGTTGGGTGCTTGCACAGACAAGAGGCAGTGATTTTTCGAAAGAAATCAGGTTGTTCTGTTAGACAGCTACTACTGACAAACATAGAGAAGAGGCGTTTCGTTCGAAAGCTCATACCACTGGTTGATGGTTTTGTTTGTAGTTTGGCTTTGACATTCTCTTCACTCGGATGTGAACTGCAGTACATGTTCTAAGAAGTTCATCCGTTGTCCTTCTCCTGGATGAATGTTTGTACAGCTTTGATGAGTTCAAAAAGCGGATTGTTAGCAGTCAGTCCAGCTCGTTCAGTTGCTTCTTTTTTAGGTTATATGTCAAAATAAAGTTTCAAGCACTTTTGGTGCAAAAAGTTGAGCACACAGCTTTCGTAGTAGATGCGTTATTAGGTCACCTGTCTCTTTCATGACTTCGTAGGGGGCAAGCAAGTAAGTTATATTGGAAAGGTGATCGTTCTGGGAATAGAACGATATTTGAAGGCGACTATAGATTACCGTGATTTCCCGAACTACACTGACGGTTATTCTTCTGACATTGCAAAGTCTTGAGTTGGCCAAAACGCAGTATTCAATTTAGCATTTCTTCCTACTGATGCGTTATATGTGATGATGTGAAAGCTAGCTCATTCTGTTAGTCATTCCCAGTCATTACTGCCCCGTGGTTGGACTTTCGAGCCAGAGATCATAATCGAAAGCTATCATCGTTCTTCTGTTTCGGTTTGAACGTCATGCCAGCACGTTATCTCACATATCAACGCGAATCTCATAAAAGCCAATAATCTCATGCCACATCGATCGTCACGTGGTGTCATTGAACGGTGACTGCGATGAGTGAACCACTATGCTATCTAAGGTACGTGTTAGATTCAAACAAATCCAGAAGAAAAATGTGTACAAGTCCTGATGTTATATGTAGCTTTTCTTTCAAAGGTGAACCATCACTAAACTTGAAATGATTTCTCGTTAGGCAAGGTCACAGAATGTCTTCTTTATTGCTGCTAGCAACGCACGAGCCATGCGAAATTCAGCAAAGCACACTTTTCTGGTTTTCACGTGGTGGCTAAAAAGGATGTGGAATCACATTTACTGCTTCCGAGTTAATTCGCTAAGTAACATTTCAGCAAATCAAAGAGGCGGACTATGCAGACAGGGCTCACAAGGAGATTGCCTGATATTCTGCCTACTCAGTGTGCTTTCAAATGACTGTCCAGCTGCATAGCTAACACTAGTTTGGCATTCAACACAGAAAAGCGCCATCTTGACCTCACAACTGTACCATGCTTGTCCAGCGTCACCTAGAGGTAAGTCAGAACACCAAGTAGTTTTAAGAATTTGACATGGGCATGCATTTTTGTTTGCCTGAAATAGACCACACGAAAAAAACGTGTGAGTAATGATTGCGTCTTAGGCTGACATACCGCGCTGTTGTTCGAGAAAGCGAACAAGAAGTCGGTAAACGATGAGTGTGCGCATGTATTGCATTCTAAGCCATTCTTATCTTTCTCACTG